TATATGATACATACATTATTATCAATAGTTTTCACAATATTCATCACAACAATTATTTTGTCATTGTTTAAGCTAAAACAGCTATCACCATTGGTTATTTTAATACAAAAATGTTTAGCAAACAATTCTTTATACTCAAAACTTATTTTCAGTTTTCTTGGCACAGGTCCATTACTATGCTCTTTTTTAAAGTATGGAAAATCTTTGACCTTATAACTAAACTGCTGTCTCATATTCACTAATTTTCTTTCCGATAGCCTTCTAACCACTTGCTGCAATGGCAAATGAGGTTTGCGTACAAGCTTTTTTAATTTTTTCAAATAGTTTTCAAAGGGAAATGATGATACGTTATCTAAAGGTCCAAAACTTTTAGAAACACTTGCTAAATGCAACAACCCATGCATAATGTATGAGATCACTTCCTTGCCATAAATATCAGCAACATGCTTAACAAATAACAATAACAAACTGTAAGCATAATCAACATACTTATCCCACAAAAATTCACTCAACAGGATACTCATAGCAACTGACAGTAACATAAAATTATTATATAATGCAGTTAGTAATATACCTTCAAAACACACCATGCCAGTGTATAAAATTGCCGAAACTCTGTTGCCTTCCAACGTTCAAAGTCTTTAAATAACCTAGGCTTACGTGCAAATTCACGTGGGATATAATTTCTTAAATTTAGCAATTTTTTTGACAGCTCACAGACAACACGAGGACCAAGCCTAGTCTTTAAAGGACCTCTAAGTAACAAATATACTAATTTCGGCATGACTCCATTACAAACTAAATGCATATAATCAGCAGGCACTTGTGATATCATTTTTAGTGGAATATTAGTTAGTGGGCTTTCTGTATTATGATGATGATGATCTGTCATTCTTTGAAAAGAAATATCTGTTCTAAGAACTGCGTCTGTTTCTGGAAAAGTGACACGCCCAACATAGACACCACGCTTTTCACATTTATCACACCCATAATAAGCACTATGCCCCTTTATACATTTAACAAAAGCACTAGCTGGGGTGTCACACACTAGAGCAGAAAGTTTTACTTTGTAATGTACATGGTTACTGATAATGCCATTAAGCTGAAGTTCTTTTACTTTATTCACAAAATCTTCTGGAAATTTATTAACATCCGGTGGCTTACTATTTCCACAGTATAACCCAATAACAAATGGTTCTTTATTTCGTTGAAGTTTATTTTAAAACTTTTCTATAAGTCCAAGAATAGGCCAAAGCTGTGTATTAGAGCTTTTAAACAATGGCAAGCCATCTATATTGACTTGAAAAGATACTGTTGAAACTTCATTTTCATCATCACTAAACACAGTGGGCAATTTATCGAGTATCTGCTGCTTTATACCAAAATAACAGAAACCTTCATACACTTCACGCTTTGCAATTTCTGTTTGCATTATTGTTTTTGGACATTTTGATAAACCAGGAACTAACTTTTTCACAATGCAAATTAGATCACTGAATGCTTGTTGTGTAATATTATGTTGAGAATACCAAAAAGCTAAATCACCTTCCAGTTCATCTACTACATTATGTTCTTCGTTTATATCTGAATCACTATCAGATGAAATTTCAAACTCACTATTTTCATTATCAATTTGATAAGAAAGATTGAGATTTTCATTAAAAGCAGTAGAGTTGAAAGCTTCATTACTTAATGTGTTTAATACACGTTTTTCGCAACTGCTTTGAACAACTGTCTTGGGCAAAAAGTCAATAGCTTGAGAAAAATTAAACCCAGTCTCATGTAAATAATCAGAGTTACCAGCTTCATTGATAACGAGTTCTCCTTGATTTATTTCGGTTAAAATATTTTTTACTTCTTCCCGAATCTTTCTTCTTTGAGTCCAATAGCTCATTACTAAAACCAAAACTACACAATCCTCTTTGATGAAAGTTATGAACTTGTAAAGTCTAACTAGTAGGAAATACATTACATATATACATTAGAAATTTTGCACAATGCATTATGGCATCGCCGTACCAAGCTGACGTGACATTTTAGGAACACTTATGGCCCGACGATGGCTTACCAGTTCTGGTGCGCCAGCTAAGGCACTTAATTGGAACACACGCGTTTAGCCGAAGCTAGCTTGTCAGCTCTGGCCCATTTATGTACTGCTGATTGGGATGCATTTTTGTACCTTTGGCGAGCCATTATTGATACGTTTACGGTCCGGCAATGGCAAGCAAGTTCTGGTTCGCCAGCTAAGGCCCTTAACTGGATCACATCTGTTTTGCCGGACCTGGCTCGCCAGCTCTGGCCCATTAATGTACTGCTGAATGGGATAATCGTCATACTCATTATGATCTTCATGATGATCATGATGATCATGATCATGATGATCATGATGATCATGATCATGATGATCATGATGATCATGATCATGATGATCATGATGATCATGATGATCATGATGATCATGATGATCATCATGATGATCATGATGATCATGATGATCATGATCATCAAGATCATCATGATCATCATGATCATCATGATCATCAAGATCATCATGATCATCAAGATCATCATGATCATCATGATCATCATGATCATCATGATCATCATGATCATCATGATCATCATGATCATCATGATCATCATGATCATCATGATTAAAAATTTTATTTTTATTTTAATATCAATTATTCTATTTTATTTTATACCGTTTTAAAATATTATTTTTATTTTAAATTGAAAATAATAGTTAAATTTGCATACTTTAATGAGAGTTTTAAAACGTACGTTCTTTATCGTTTAAAAATACCTTTTGTAAAATGGAAAATTAGGACTGAAGCTGAATAATTAAACATAGAAAGGTTTAATACAAAAATTTCGACCTGAACTTTCAAAAAATGATTTTATTAGCAGTTTACATTGCTAAAAAAGTCGTATATTTTTAATATCATCGTTTAATGTACCTCTCTTAACTAATATAATGGCCTTATATATAGGCTTTTTTTTTGATATTGTTTTAACGTCGTGTGGGTATGGCGTAAACTTGTCAAACTTTAGGATAGTGTGCTAAAAATCTGACTCATACCATTTTTTAATAAAAGCTTATTTTTAGGAAACGTTCTAATTAGTATAATTATATTACTATTTTAGTTTTATGGATACTTTGAAACAATAGATGTAGTTACATTTAACATTACACTGGAACTGCATAAAACAATATGCGGTTTACCAATTGAAATTCCTGCAAAACTATCTTTTCAAAATAACATGGGTACGTTAAAAATGAAAACAATGTCAAACAAAAACAATATCCTTTGTTTTGATAATATACCACCAAATATTCGAAGAGATCAAAAAGCACTTCCAGGTAATTTTTACTTGCCCATAATATTTAATATCATTTATAAACTAAATGAAGCTTTAGATGTTTTATTTATTTTAATAGTACGTTGTTTTATGATAATATTTAATTTTGATTTAATTTCCAAAGTTTCTCTTCAGCACAAAATGTGTAATAATTCTAATAAATAAAACAGTTTTTTTTAATTTTTGTTAAAATCATTTAATTTATAAAATACATGTCTCGACTATATCATAGCCATCATCAGTTAAAATATATTAAATGCTTACACCAAACTGGTAAATTTAAGTTGCTATAACAAAGACATCATAACAAAAAATACAATAAAAACGCTATTAAATGTAAGCAAATGTAACAAATGTTTTAAATACGATAAAAGAACCGGTATTGTTATAAGGAACTAGATTAAGAGTGTCATATTTACATTGTTCAATTGTTTATGAACTGTGGATTTTTTCCGCACTCTATGGAAATGCTTTCTTTGAGTTTTAATATAAATTAGTTTTTGACCGAACCCTAATTGAAAAACTAGAATGATTAAAACAGCTTATATTTGAATGAATATGTATATATATAATCGATTTTTTATCCAATTTATAGTTCTCTATTATTCGTGTTTTTAAATGGCTAGTAATTTTGCCATAATAAGAGGATATATAGCCTGCGAATTCAAATTTATAGACCACAAATGATTTAAAATCTATATAAAAAGGATGTTTTGCGATAACCAATTTTGAAATTTTCAATGAAGTAAAAACCAATGTTACGGTGACTGAATTGCAATACCTTTTAGCTGTTGCGTTCAATTTTTGTTTGGCCAGATTAGATTTTTTTCCCATGTAAGTTTAAAATATTGATTATATTGTAGCTTATCTGAAAATGATAAAATGTCAACATTGTTGTTGATAATGTAACAGCCATTGATTTCCTCAATTAACTAAGACGGGTAGAAGTTGCGTTTGAGAACTTTAAAAAGATCCTTAATATCATGACTAAAACCAAGACTAGTGTTATTTATATTATAAGGTCTATAAATTAAACATTTAAACAGACTTCTTTTAAAGGAAAATGAAGTAAAAATAAAAATATTTGTTTTTTATAAGAAAACTTAACAACTACCACTATTTTTCATAAGACTTTCTTGCAACAAAAAAGTCCTGAGAAAGTTTTCTTTTAAAAAACAGTGGTAATTGTTAAATTGTTTGTTTTATTGAGAGTTTGGTCTAAAAAATACATTTTTGGTTTAGCTTTCTTTTTCTATTGTAAAAGTAATAAAACTATGTTTATTATTAATATACTCCAAGAAAATTGGCGTAAATTTCGGATGAGAAAGCAGCCAAAATTTAAAAGTTTTTAAAATTTTCAGTTCTATAACTACGCTCTTTTGGTATGTATATTGTATATTTTGTTGTTGATTTAAATGCAAGTCAAATATTAATTAATAATTTAAAAAGAAGAAAAACTTCTCGTTTGAAAAAGACAACGTAAAACGCACACTAGATAATGAATTGAAAAATCAATAATCTCAAATTGGTTGAAGATGAAGATCTTTAAATTAGGTCAAAAAATAAATCTGCCGAAAACGAAAATGTCATAAATTGGTTGAAAGTAAAAAAGACTATTTTGGAGAACAACTTAGAAGGTTGAGATTTTTTAAGTCTATCTATCTGACACACACACAAAAAAAAATTGTTTTGTCTGTTATATAAAAGTTTCTCAAAGATATATCTTGGTTTTTAACCCGTTAACAGTCAATGTTGTAATATTACGCAAACAAAAAGTGGTTCCCAAATGTCCGTGCCGTAATATTACGGTTTTATGCATATCCTAATATTTACTTTTTGTTTATTAGTAATTATACGTATACTTGTCACAAAATTTATTTCTACGTAATTAAAGAGCTTTTGTTTTAATAATTGTCTTTTATACGTGTTTACTTTTGCTTTAAATATGGCGAATAAGGAAGTTTTTACAGTGAAAAATTTATAATCAAAAAAGCGAATATTTACTCACGAAGAGATAGAGAGTTATATATTTGATAAAAGTGAAGAGTTGAATGGAGTCTTAGAAAAAGATTGTAGTTTATCTGATGTTTCTGACGGTGAAAATTCAGAACCAAAATTATTAGAGCTAGGTTTAGAAGAGGAAACGCCTGCATTGCTCGATGCTCTAAGTTCTAGCAACAGTTTTTCAGATAATGAAACTTCTGAGTTTTCATACATACCCAAATGGACATCTGCACCTTCAGTTAATAGAGTTCAACTTTTTGCATTTACCGGTGTTTCTGGCTACATTCAGAATGCAGTCAAAAATGATCCTTTTTATTTGTTTGAATTTTACTTTACAGATGAAATTTGTGAGTTTATTGTAAATGAGACCAATTGATTTGCTTCCATAATTACAAATAAAAAAGAATTATCAGCAAATTCCAGTATGTGGCGCTGGTTGTCTGTAACAGTTTCAGAGATTAGGCAGTATATTGCAATTTTTTTAAATCAAGGAGTACTATGGAAGCCAATGTATGAAATGTATTATACAACAAATTCATTGTTTTCAAGTGCTGGTGTTAAGTAGTTGTTATCTTTTAACAAATTGAAGTCAATTGACAAACTTATTTATTTTGTTGATTCTGCTACATTACCAAATAAACATCCGACTCTATCTAAAATAAGCGTAGTATGGGATTATCTTACTAATAAATACAAAGAAGTTACTTTTGTTGTGGAAAGGTTGACTATTTTGGAAATAATGCATTCGCAGTAAAAGTGACAGATTTGGCATAAAAACATTTTAGAGAAGGTGTGTTGGTTGTTACAAAAATAAAGTTTGAAAAGATTCGAGGTTTGAATGTGTAGATTGTGATGTAGGACTTTGTGCTGCTCCATGCTTTGCATCTTATCATACTAGAAGTGAATATTAGTAATAATATTTTGTTTTCATATAATATGATTGTATACTCTTTATATATTCATTTTATTGTGTTTATTAGTGTTGAAAATAATAAAAACTTTTTTTTAATTTTTGTTTGAAAAACGCAATGTTTTGAAAAAACGCAGGAAATTTAGAAACCACTTCAAAATAAAAAGCCGGACTAATAGCGACCGTATTTTAAAAACAACACGGGACTGTTAAAGGGAAAAGCTAGTATCATTAGATAACTGATTTTTTTTAGCTGACACAGTTGGTTCACAACACATTTTTTGTTATGAATATTGCGAAAATAAGTTAAAATCTGTAACTAACTTTAGTAGAGAGAATGCAGTAGCAAATATTTTATGGTGAAATTTTTTATTTATAAATATCTTTATTTGGTTAAAAGAGAAAAGAGAGCTTTTGAAAATTGCTCATTTCATTAACTTAATCAATCTCGCGAGAAAATATTGAAAAAATTGTTGCTTTTAATATTTTATTAAAAATAACTGGAACATGTTTTATAACTACATTTATTTGATATATGGAAAATAAAAGGCTTTTGAAGAGTGTTCATGTCATTAACTTGATCAATCCCGTGTTTCCTGCAAACACTTTTCAACTTTATTTTCAAAGCTGATTGAACAATCTTAACGTCTTAATTCTCTAGTTTTTATTGCTTGATTGGTATGGATATAAAATGTATTATACCCTTTATACATGATAGATAGAAGATTTTATACAGACAGCAGATTACCTGAAACACAAATAAACAGATTTGGTATTTGGCTAGAACAATGAGTAAGTATAGGATTTTCATTCAAGTTTGAATTTACGAGAAAATAACAGTGTAGTTTGTTCTAGTTATTGCTGCAACACCATCAAAATATTGTCTTTCACTATTAATAATACTCAAACTAAGAGATTTGCTCTTTTTTGAACTGCAAAAAGCTTCATTATCAGAATTAGAAAAAAGATAGCAATATAACTTTTGAAATGTTTTAAATAAAAATATTCTCAAAAACATATATCACATAAATCTATATAAAATTGTGTTTTGATTATATTTCTGTGTAAAATATATAGGTAAACAATAAAAAAAAGTTGCTTAAGTCAGCGAAACATTCAAAGTTTCTGAAATTTTTAAATATTTTAGCAAAATATCACCAAATATATAAGCATTATTAAAATGGTAACCAGTTATTAACATAACCAAAATATGCTAATAATTTTATAAATTTACTTTATAAAATTATTAGCATATTTAGGCTATAACTTTAATAATATTAAAAACTTAAACATTTTAAATTGTAAATGCATAATACTTTATTTGCACCCTGAAAATCACCATTTTGGTTTGCTTACATTTTATTAGTACTCAAGTAAACCTGCAAACCAATCTGGAAACCTAACAGATGTCACAAAGCTGAAATTATATAATAAATATTTTTTCATGCCATTAAAGGCAATCCACTAAATTGAGTTAAACAAAAAAATGATTGTTCTCAAAAATTAATTTTGAAAAGAAAAAACTTGAAAATACCTAAAATTACTTTTGTAACTTCAAAAAAACAACCAGGTAACAGAGTTTTCAAATTTCACAGCTTAATCATTAATACAACTTAAAAATTGTGTTGCAATTGTGAGTAAAAAACACTCAATTTTAACTTAATTTTATTAGTTTTAGATTTTTTTTATGAAAGGCTGTTATCTATAAAGATATTTACGTTAAAGTATATTACATATTTAAATACATTAGTTGGCATTTTAAAAGTTTTACAACATAGACAAAAAGTTATTATTATTATAATTTTGTAACAGTAAAGTGTTTTAAAAATCTTGCGTTTAGATATAATGGTATTTTGATATACAAAGTTTGTTTCTAAACTAACTAAAGTTTAAAACTTTTAATTTTTCAATAAATTTATATTTTATATATGAGAAAATTTATTTACAAACAGCTGATTTTTTTTTCTTATGGTATACACAATTAGGAATACACAACTTAATCTGAATCGTTCAACAAAACAATGCGCTTAGAAAAGTTCTAGCGCGTAAAAGTACGTTGACTTTATACTACTTGTTAAATATTGACAAAAGCAATATTCGTTCACATAAGTTTTGTAATTTCGTAAAAAAATAAGTTTTAACATTAAATTGAATTATGTTTTAATTTTTTCTTTTGATTAAGAATACTATGGTAGAGGAATATATGTAGATACTGAAAATTCAACTGTTTATGTATGCATGAATCAACATGTTGAGAGGTATGCTATATTATTTTTGTTTTGATAATTAAAACCTTATTAAGTTTGTTTTTTTTTACTTTGAAACAATTTCTTTTATAATCTTTAGGCGTTGTAAAATTTGTTATTTTCAGGATTTTTTCAAATTTGTAAAGAAAGAACTGTTTTTGTTTATTAAACCTGTCAATCAGAAGCTTTATTCGTTGAATAAAACAACTTTATTAAAATTAAAATGTTTAACCAATAAAATAACAAAAGAATAACATTACAAAAAAATTACAAAAACGGTTAAAAAAAAATTTAGAAAAAAGACAGAACAAAGTTAAAAGATATGCAGTTATATTAAAACGAATTTTTTAAAGCAACTAATACTTAAGAGAGATGAATTTATAAATAAAAATTGATTTTCTTTTTTCAATTTTCTCTAAACTAAAAAATTAATATAAAACGAAATTTGTTTAATTGTAGATTTCATGATGTCTTCAAGTAATCAAGGAGGAAAATATTATTTTTCTAAATATTATTTACAATTGGGCTTTTATCTTTTTAAGTCACCAGTTTTATCAATTAATTAGTTTTACCTAATTAATTACTTTAACACACGAATTTGAAGATCGACCAATGATAAAACTGTTTAAGGTATTTTATAATTAACCTTAAAAGCGGAAGAAAAATGACTGTCCAAGTTAGAGCCATTTGTGTCGTTTTAAAAAACAGCTAACATTGTGGAAACATATACTTTAAAAACTGTTAAATAAAGAAACTAAATGATAGCAAAACTTTTGAAATAGATATAAGTAGACTGAACACAAAATATGTTTGCCTATCTTGAAAAGAAATAAAATATTGTCGTTATTTGGAGTAGTTCAGAAGAGAACTCATTGTTATTTAGAAAGTCACCTTACTACATATAGGTTTGGAGTTTATGTAAAGTCTCAGTTATTATTATTTTATTATTTTCAAGTGAACCTTCAATGAAATTGGGTTTCTCAATTTTAGCCTCAAGTTTTTAAAAAAAAGTATAAGCAATATGTATTTAGAGAATATCTCCGCAAGTATATTTAGAAGGAATAGTTTTTTTAATTAGGTTTTATTGATTGTTGTCAAAATAGTAATTAAATACACTTGCAATTTTAGACAATGATTTTTAGAAGGTGAATAAATCTGTTTAGTAACATTAATGTTGAATTTTTATTCTAAGTATATTGAATAATATGTAACTTAATTTTTTATTTTATAAAGACCGCAACATCACCTTTCATAATAAATTTACTACTTGTATTGAAACCAAAAAAAAACAACTTTACTGGTTAAGATGGAGCCAGAAAATCCTGATTGTAACCAGAATCAAGAGTTGAGATAGACAGTCAAAAATTATTATTCAGAGTATTCAGAGACGAATTATTCAGAGGTATTAAGAGATAATTTAGGATGCCTAAAAGATTTTAAATGTCACATACCTATACTTGAGGATGCAACCTCAGGATAAAACCAAGACCAGTACCGTATGATTTGAGGACTAGGATTGAACAAGAGCTAGATTGCTTAGACGACCAAGGGGTTTTAAGAGGAGTCTAGTATTCAAAATGGGTAGCCCCTATAGCGTCTGTTCTAAAAAATTCCAAACATCATTTGGGTCCGTTACGCATATGGTGAATTATAAAGTTACAATTAATCAAGCTGCCTTCTGGATACCGATCCAATACCAAATACCACTGATCAGTTAGCCACTATCGCAGGAGGACAGAAATACACCAAGTTCGACTTGCTCAAGGCGTATTAGCAACTTCAGTTATATAAAGCTTCAAAAGAATTCCTAACAATAAATACTCATAAAAGTTTATATTAGCCGATTCGTCTTTAGTTTGGTGATCATTGTTAAACTGGCATCTTTCAAAGTAAAATTAACAGAAGGTTGGGCAGGTTACCATTTTTGAAAGTACGAATGGACGATATACTCATTTCTGGAAAAACTGATAAAGAGCGTTTAAGTGATTTTGAATTTGTATTAAGATTATTGAAGGATTCAGGATTACCCTTAAGTGCCCTTTTATGCAACCTGAAGTGGTATTCTGTGGTTTTATAATCAGTCAAGAAGGCTAAAGACCAACAGCACTAAACTTGGAAGCAGTCAGAGATCTTCCACGACCCAACAATGTCAAAGAGTTGGGAGCGTTTTTTTGGAATGGCTAACTATTACAATGCCTACTTACCCATAATGGATTCCATTACAGAACAGCTCCATAATTTGTTGAGGAAGACTGTATTTTAGAAAAGGAGTAAAAATAGCGAGGAAGCTTTTCAAAAAACTAAAACGTTTTAATGCAACGCACTATTGTTAGCCCACTTTGATCCGTCAAAAATATCATGGCTCTCTGTGATGCCAGCCAATATGGTCCACGAGCAGGATAATGGTAATGAAAAACCTGTTAGTTTTGTTTCAATAAATATTAGGTATGACTCAACAAAGTTATGCCCATATTGAAGAAAAAGAATTAGCATTAGTTTTTGCAATAAAAAAATTCCATCAGATTTTATAATGGCACAAGTTTACTTTGTACACTGATCATAAACCTCTACAAGGACTATTTTTAGACAATAATGAACTTCCTGCCTGAGCTGGTGCAGTATATTAATGCTGGGCCCTGCTACTGTCAGCATATGATTATAAACTACTATAATTTCTAGGTGAAGAGAATTCAGCTTCATTTGGTTTAGGCCGTTTACCATTAGATGAATTGAGGAAAAAGTCATGCTTAAAAACCATGAATGTGCTATGATGGAGCTAGGAAACACCCCTATTACAGAGAAACAATTGAGCATAGCCACATATAATCATCCCAAAATAGAAGTGGTTCTAAATAAAGTGTTAAATGAGAGATTGATGATGGAAGATAATAGAATTGGAACTGAAACTATTCACATATAGGTTTTCTGAATTGTTAACAGAAGGAGGTTGTTTGTTGTGGGGGAGAAGAGTAGTAGTGTCTAGATTGTTACGAGAAACACTACTAGATGATTTACATGATATTCACCCAGACGTGAGTAAAATGAAAGCTTTAGCTAGAAGTTATGTCTGGTTGCCCGGAATCAATTCCAAAATTGAGAACAAAGTAAAAAATACTGAGACTTGTTAATGAAATCAGAATTGTCAATGAAATGAGTTGCATCCGTGGAGATAACCAAGTAGACGAAGGGAGAGGTTACACATTAATCATGCAAGTTCAATAGATGGGAAAATATTCCAAGTAGTAGTTGACATATTCTCAATATGAATCAAAGTGAAAGTTATGAAAAGCACTGAAGCCAAAATAATAAATAGTGTACACAGGAGATTATTTTCCTCCGATGGTAAACCTAGAGTTATTGTTTATGATAAAGGATCTGGGTTTTCGAGTAAATAATTCAAACAGTTTTTGTCTTCATATAACACCAAACCAATCAAACTATCTAGCCTCAAATCATCAAGCAGAACAAACGGTTCAAGCATTTAAGAACTCTTTAAAAACTTTTCAAGGGAGTGATGTTGAGAAGCAATTGTGTCACTTCCTTTTAAAATATTGCTTAACACCACATTCCACAACTGGAGTTTCTGCAGCTGAATTTTTTTTAAGGTAGAAGATTAAGATCCAATGTCAATGTTACTTATGAGGCCATCACTAAAATCAAAAAAAAAAATAGCTTTCATGTATTTTTAGTAATAGATGTCGATTCTTTCAACTGGAAGACCTTGTTTATGTAAGAAATTATATTGGTGCAGAGAAGTGAGTTTCATTCATTATCGTATCAGCAGTTGGAAATGTTAACTAAAAAGTGTTGGCAATGGGTGGTCGAATCCAGATTAGACATATAAATCAGATTGTAAAACGTCACGTGAAAGGTTCCATTAAATCAGGCATGAATAGTTCTTTGTTATGCAATCAAATACCTTAAATAACTGAAACATCAATTCTATATGTTATAAAGGCTAACCAAATAACAAAGATATCGATCCCAACAGAGTATGTGAACAGTTTGAAAGTAAAGGCGTTGGTTCCGAGACTCATTGAGATCAACCTTAGTTGTTTACTGAGCCGATTTCTACAAAAAGCCAAAGGTCATGTTGACCCTGTTGTAAAACATCATTTTTAGAACAGTATGAATAATATATGGGTGGAAGATAGTTATAACTGTGTAATCTGGTTTCCGATTAAATATGGACGTGCAGCGTGCCAGTGTGTGTTCCTTTGCAGTTCGAGAGTGACGATGGAAGAAAAGTTGTAGTTGTTGTTATTTAAAGGGATATAAATTTTATAATTCTTGTAGCTGTTTATAGTTTTTGTATTTGTGGTTAATTTAACTGAGTTTATTTTTTCCTAAAGATGTGGTATATTTTTTTAACATATTCATAACATACAGATTGATATACATTTTTGCAGTTTTATGAGCAAAAGCGTCGATTTTAAAAGCATCAATTTATATCCACTTAAAATGACTTTAAAAATAACGTGTCAATGTTTTTTTTAAATTCAAGTTAACACCAGTTATTTGAGAATATATTTCCGAGTTTGAAAAAAATCTTCTTGCCTTCATTGCTATATCCCAACCTGGTTTTGTTATATCTACTTGAAACCCTTTTTTTTTTTCATTGAAGGATTTTTGATATTTCTTTTTCGCTTCTTTGACTAATTTGTTTTCCTCGTCTGATTAAACTTGCCACATTTGTAAAGTTATTTTATAACCTAAATAAAAAAGAAACTCAAAGAAGCGGATCTTTGTATGAAGAATTGAGATCTATATATGAAGAATCCAAATGAGAGGGCTTCTGTATTAGTTTTCTCTTTTTGATTAAATTTATCAAAATTTTTGTTTTCTACAAATATAGCACCTCAAAGTATATGTATTATTAGTTGCAGCGTTGCACAGTGTACAATCTACCATTGTAAAAAGTAAGGCATGCTTTAATTTTTCCAATATGATTAGGCAACCTTGTTTACCTAAGTTTCGTTATTTAGTTTTTTTGGATGTTCTTTTTTTTCAATTATTATGTCTTTCGATTCACTAATAAAGCGTATTTGAATCGACCTGCAGAACCTTGGTAAAGAAGTGACTGGGTTTTTCCATATAGTTTTTTTCTGTTGACTATCAATTTTAAAAATCATTTTTGGAGGTACTAAACTTTGAGAAATATTTGCGTCAATGTAAGTATTGTTTTAAGTTTTTTGCTTAAATTTTGCATGTTGTGATCCATCACAGCCTTATTTATATAATAAAACCATATTCTTAAGTTCTTATTCTGAAAACTTTTCTACAGCCTCTGAGACATATTAATATATACGCAATGTGGTGCGGTCAAGTAATACTTGTAGTAGAATTTCCGCTGGAGAGTTTCGGTTACTTGTATCAATTTCGTATCAGGCTAACATTCTATTTTGGCTAACTGATTTATTGAGTAGCACGGGTAGACATTTTTTGTTCTACTTTGAATTAGTTTCTACTTTTTTCTGGTAAAATTGCCTTCTACAAACAGCTCCAGTGCCTCTTAAAGCGTTAATTTAATGACAGTTATTTTTTTTTAGCAGAGTTAAATACGTTTTGATAATTCTGTGCTCTAGTAGGCGTAACAGTAATTTCTATAACAAATTTTGCTGCATCAATATTTCCTGAAATGCGCTGGTTCACTCTGGCTGCATACGTAAACTCATCAACAGATACCTGCTTGCACAGATCCATAATTTTTTGATTCCTACTGCAATCACTAAGCTCTATAAATAATTTTTAGGTCTTTGTTGAAAATTTATTGACCAATAAGGTAATTTAAATTTGGATTTGAGCAATTAGTTATTGTTTTTTTATAAAACTTTTGTGTTTATAACATGCAACTATCCATCTTTTCTTGAAATCGCTCTTAAATAATTTTAAAAATCTTGTTATAGCACTTTTTTGTTTTTTTGTATATTTTATATATGTTAAAAACTGTTCTTCCGAAAACAAAAACTTCTCCTCAAATTTTTTACCATTATAATTATTCATTTTTTTATTAAGCTCACTTGAAGTAAACAGTTTTTTTATTTCAGATGAATTTACAAGATAAATAATAAAACATTAAATACAAGGCTGGGTAACGGTGTTCAAAACAATCGACAAATAAAACATATGTATTTCTTTAAAGTTTTATAGTTTAATAGTTAAATATATTATCTATTTAAGATTTGTTTACGTAGATTACTTAAGCTTGTATAAAACATCGGACCTCAAGAAATTGTTTTATAGCTGTATTAGCTCTTTTTACGAGATTGTTTATATTACGTAATGGTTTGCATACTATTTTTAAAACGTTAAAAAAAATGTGGCTCACGTTGGCAGATAATTTTACAAAAACTATCTGATTGTTAACAACCTACATTTATTGCTCGTAAAAAAATTTTTACTCGCCAAGACCCTACTTGTCGACACAAACATTATTGTGTTATAATTTTATGTGAAAACATTAACTGTAATTGTCTATTGCAAAAACGCTCTATAATAAGCAAACTAACAACAGAAGTTTGAAATAATTTTATTTAAAAATATACTACATACCTTCTTTTCCATATTTAGAAGTTTAATTTTTCAAAACTGAACAATATGATATAACTATATGAATATAGTATTACAACAATATGAATAACAAATGACACAAAATTTCCAATTTTTTTTTTTAAAAAAATTAAATTTAAACAACAACGCCACGTTCTGAATAAAATGTGACAAAAGGAAAAAGGAAAAAAAATTTTTGAAAACGTAATCTAATGAAGCGATTATCTAGTTTGAAAATTGTAAGGCCTATAGGATTTTTATGCTAACATTTTTTTTTACGTTTGAGCAATTTTGTTGTACAAATACTACACTGTGCGGCGATTTCTAGTTTTCTACATTCAACATACATCTTAGAGATATGGGAGAAATCAGTTAAGGAATTTCATAAAATTTTTAATGCGACAAAAGCATGAAAATTTGTCAAAAAACTTAGACTGACCTATAAAACAACTTTTCCTGTTAAGAAATTTATTTTAAAAATAAAAAAGAAATTTGATTTTAAAGCAATTGACTCTAATAAGATTGAACAGACTAAATTAAAACTTTAAAAATTATAGAAGAAGTTTTGATTTCTTTAGTGAACATACAAGTTCCTCCACTTTTTCTTAGGAATTCTATTTTTTGATGATGTTGACACCTAAAAGTTGAGTTAAATAAGTTACCAACAATTATTAAATTGTACAAAATCAATTGCATCAATCAAAATACAGTGTGTTTCCAGAAATTCAAAAATTGCATATATTTTCAATTTCATGCTAACTGCTTAAGTTGCTAATAATTAATCACAAATTTATAAAGCTTTACGAAATGTAATACTAAAAATACTATGCTTTTTTCAATTTATAATATTTTAAATACTTATAATAAATAACTCCTTGTTTTTTCAAAGTTTAACATTTAAGTTGACTTGTGAACATAAATGATGAATATAATAAGTATAGTTATAATAACAGCATTAACAACAACAACAAGAACAACAACAACAACATCAGCAACAGAAAAAACATCAACAACAACAACAAAAACAACAATAACATTAACAATAGCAATAATGATAAAAATAATAGTATAAATCATATTAAAATATTAAAACACAAAAAAAAACAATAATTACAATAATAATATTAACAAGGTTAATAACAACAACAATAACCATTGATTTAAACTTTTTGTTTTAGCAAGAAAACTGCATGTTATTATTCAAACAAGGCAGGTTATTTGTGGACAGGTACAACGTAAAGTATTAATGATACATTGTGTTTTGATTTTTTAATGTTTTGTTTGAATAAATGAAGAAGATTGATAAAATATTAATTTTATGCTTATTTTAAATGGTTTTGTTTTAAATATAGCCTGATTATAAAATATTTTACAATTAAACAATCATTGTTGTATGAATTAAATACCACAAGGATTGAACTACTATATTATACATGAAGAATGACTAATAGTGTTGCAAAAAACAGTAAACCGTTTCATTGATTTATTTAAACAAAACAGTTTATTTAATGGTTTTAAAAGTATTAGGTATTATATTTAGTAATGTATTTCGTTGTAAATTCATAGAAAAAAGCAAAAAAATTTTAGAATAAAAATGCAAAATTTTAACATTTGCTATTTAATCTACATATAAAGACTGATATGACTAGTTATACATTGCCAGATCTATTTAAGTCATATCAGTCAACATGTCCAGATATGCGCGGCCGTGGCGCAGTGGTTAGAGCGCTGGCTTTATAAGCAGGAGATCCAGATTCGAAACAAGCTCTGAATAAATTTGCGTCACGTTAAGGAAGGAAGCGTAACCTTCCTGGTTAAATGCACCTCCACGGTGCTCTGTGACAAGATTGTTAGGTCTTTTTGAGGCACCTAAAATAAAAACAAAACAAATATTTCTTTTATTTGCTGATTTGAAGTTTTGATAATATATTAAAATGTGCGTTTAGAAAAATTTTACATTTCTTGATATTAAAGGTAACTTAATTGCTAGAAAAACTGCGATGTTAATTTAAACAAAGAGACGTAGTTATGCATTTTTAGCTTAATGTTTTTATACGTTTTTGTTAAATAAACGTAGGGGCGGTACATTAATCACTAAAGCAACAATTATAGTACTATACATAAATCAGGCTTTTTGGTTTATAGTGTTTACTATTTGATTTCAACACAGACTTTGGTTATACATTTTCAGGTATGGACATTCGTGTAGGAGCTGTTATTGGACATCATGTACTAACTAAAGAGCTTTATGCAGTCAATCGTAATCAGAAAAATTACTTATATTTTAATCTTTTTTACAAAAGGTGGTTAGCAATTTCCATTCCCCAGTTCAATGAAATAGGTTTGAACAACTTTAATACACATATGACCATGAACTTAGAAGGAGCTGAAAATAAAATACTTTATAATGGATTAAATCAGTGGATGGGTAAGATTTTTTTTTAATTATAGTTAATTTATTATAAATGTTTAGATAAACTATGCAGTAACAAAATTTTTTTATTCAAATTAAAGAAAAAATCATATTTTAAAAGTGTCATAAATATTTAAATGAGTATTTATCCTAAAAACGAACATTATGTACTTATAATACCATAGCAAAGTATGAACCTTGGTAAAATAATTGTCAATTTCACAAAATTGATATTACTGTAAACGATTATTTCTAATAAAAATTAGGAAAAGTAGGACTTTTATAAGCCTTTATCTTTTATCTTAACTAAGCTGTTTTTAGTATTGGATTCGGCTAATTATTAGACTGTCACGTATTTTATCAAACAGAAATATACTAAAAGGGTATATGAAAAGTAAAATTAAAATTCTCAATTTTTTTCTAGTTACTTCCATTTATTTACAATAAAAAAAATTTAACTTAAAAACAAAACAAAAAAAATTTATCATCAGCTATAAATCATTAAATTTTTACATTTATCAAATTGAAATTGTTTCTTATAATAACTTTTTTAAAGTTATTATAAGAAACGCATCTTACAATTTGCATAAAATTTCCGATTTTTATTCGATTTTTTACAACATTTTATTTAACTTGCTTTTAAGTCGGTTTGTTTATTTTATATATATATATATATATATATATATATATATATATATATATATATATATATATATGTATATATATATATATATATATATATATATATATATATATATATATATATATATATATATATATATATATATATATATATATATATATATATATATATATATATATATATATATATATATATATATATGTATATATATATATATATATATATATATATATATTTTTTTTTTTTTTTTTTTTTTTTTTTTTTTTTTGGTATCGGCGCAAAACAAATATTAGGTTGCCGGTATATAAAAGAAAACATTAGGAAGAGTAATTAAAACAAATAATAAATGACAGACATTTAGCGTTTTAGTTTAGCGTAAATAAATAGAATCGCAGTTGAATAATTAAAAAAAATAATAAAATAAAAAATTTAAATATTCATTGAAATCAATGACTGAAACTGTTGGGCAACTAATGCAACTCGTTACTATTAGCGCCTAACATTTTTAATGTTTGAACTTAATGGATATTTCAGCTTAAGTATGCACACAAAGTGCTTGGGTCTTGTGAAATAGTTTATTTTTTACATTTTAGTTCAATTTTACTAACGATTTCTTTAACTTTTTGTTCTTTTTTGGTTCTCAGTTCGCATGAGTTGAGACAAAAATTTTTACAAAACTGAGAAAATAATTATGGCGCTGTTTCTATAAATTTACTTTTTTTAACAAAATAAAAGTGAAATTATAGAAACACTGTGCAGTTTTTAAAAAATTTTGTTCTTTTAAATTTTTTTTATTTAGCTATGAATCATAAACTTTTTAAATTGATAAACTATTATTGTTTTTCATAATAACTTTACAAAGACTTAACTTATTCAGTGATACAGCTGTCACTATCTCTAACCTATTATGACAATAGTTTTCGAAAACCAAAAATTTTGCTAAGATCAAGTTGATTATATTTAATGCATATCCAATTGGAATAAAATATCTGATTTGAACTTTTTCGTATCAAAGTTGTTAAATTCTTCGGCTGTCAAATCATTGGGATCAGTGGCTAAGATTCGCTCAAAGGTTAAAGTTGTTCAACATTTCAGGGAACGTAAAAACGCAACTTTGGAGCATTTGGAGGCTGTTTGGTTGCTTTACATAAAAATTTAGTGTCAGAGTCTTTTGCTTCTTTTATATATCATTTATTTGATAAAAGCAAGATTAGAAAATCTTTTTGCTCTTCAAAAACGCCAGGATTGTTGATTATCTTTAGCAGACCAACATTTAAGAATCTCTTTTTCAATTTCTTCATGCAAACGACCACGAATAAAACTTTTCTCTTATCGCAATTTCTCTTATAAACTTCAAGTAACAATAAATTTGAGTTAGAGAGATTGATTTAAAAGCTCACTGACTAATCTAAGAATATACTTGAATTTGTTCGCAATAGTTTACACATCTTTTTTTGATATTAGACAAAACACTCGAATACGATCCGTATTCGAATGTTTTCCTATCTTCAGTTTTTTCATTATTTTTGTCAGCATTATTTTTGTCTTTATTGTCTACTTCGTTAGTTGCTGAACTAAGCACGCTTGGTGCATTAAAAATTCTGAAAAGTGAATGCTGAAATGTGACAATCTGCATCTGTTTTCTTTTTGCTCTTTTATGATGATTAATCCTTATTTATCAGATTGATGCCTGTATTTATGTTTTTTTGTGTAGTACTCGTTTTACGCAATCGTTAAAGCAAATGCATTTAACTTGTTGCAAGGAACGTTTTAACTTTAGTGCAACGCTTGCTTCATCCATAGTTCGACGAATGCAACCTTGGTCAAAATTATAACTTTTTGATATTTGTTAACTTATTTGTTTTGATTTTTATTAAACACTTGTTTCGTGTATGTCAGTTACAGTTTTATTATATTTTTATTAATTTGTAAACTAGTTTTTTAAATAACATGCGTTACGTTTCAAAATATTAACAAGGTTATAGTAAATAATAAGTGAACATGTCATTTCAGAAACACTTTAAGTTATTTTTGAACAAAAATGAGTTAAGCACGGAATCTTTTTATTTGAGCGTAGATTGGATTTATCTTAAGAGATCACATTATTTAAATCTTTCAGCATGCGTTAGATCGCAGTCCAATCTAAAATCATTAGTCAACGTTAATAGAAGTGGTAATGATTGTTGCACAACAAAGGTTCTTAAAAATTATAGTTTGCAATATTTGTTTCGCATAATTTAACAATTGTAACGCAAGATGTGTCTTAAACATTAGTAAAAATATCTTTAGAAAACCAATAATAATGACAACACAATTTCTTTGGAGATTAACTTATTTCAAGGAATTATTATATCGGAATAAATGCTGTAACCTTAAGTTTAATATTGCTGAATAGTTACTTACTAAATATAAATTATACAATTACAAACTGAATATAAATACTACTCAATCAAGTTGATTCACTTGATTATTTATGTTTTTATATTTGTGTTAAGGAGGTTATGTTTGTATCATTGTAATGATGGGATGGGCTATATTAGTTTACTGTGATTATTTTATGAGTTTTCGAGATTTTAATTGATTTAATAATGTAATCTGATGAGAACATATACCATAAAAAATAGGAAATAAGAGTAGTTTCTCTAAAAAAAAACAGAATGAATGAGGATACTCATTAATTTTATTAGCCTCAAAAATTAAAACAAACAACGTTATATAATATTAACAAAATTTTGATAACACAAATTATGCATAGTGACAGATTAAGATGGCCCTAAAATTTTTTGAAGACAGAAAAACTCCCTCGCAAAAACGAGGAATAATAGCACATAACCTTTTATCTAAGTAAAATAACTCGCTATGTTTATACTAAAAACAATTTCTCAATAAAAAACCTATTTTTTATAAAATACACATAGGGTTTAAAACAAATTATCCACAAATCATTAAAAACTAAAAATTTTATTTGAAAATATTTAAGCCAAAATTTTTCTTGAAGTTTGGATTCTCTCAAGTTATCTCATGCTCCACATATAATGGTAAAAATTAAAAAATAAAATGTTAGCGACAATGATAAGACTGCTGCAGCTGTTGAAAAAACGATTCATGTTTTTAGAGCCAAAAGGTTTTGCACAAAATTTAAAAAAATTGTACCAAAACTTCAAGATGATGATAAAATAGAAAGAAATTTTACATATTATATGCAAGTTTTACAACTTTTTTTCACAACACCTCAAAAGACTTTTTATGTAAAGTAGCTAATCGCTTGTGTTTCCAGCATACATAAGTTTTGAATAAAAAGTGTCAAATTCAATTTTATTATAAAGGAGCTGGTACAAAGTAATCTGATAAAGTTTGCTTTTTACTACTAAATATATTGAATCTTTCAGCAATGATGTACAATAGTTATATGTCTTTTCTGATAGATGCAGGGACCAAAACCAAAACCACACCATTAAAAAGAATAAAAACACTATTTATACTTATTTTTAAAAAGTTTCTTCATTGACTTAAGGTGTTACTGAAATTTCCGTTTAGTTATGAAAAATGGTGAAATTATATAACATTATTAAATAAACACTTTTGATGACACTCGGTAAACTTACTAATATTGCTTTGTTTTTGAATGATTTAAAATGTTCCACTTAATGCGATTAATAAATGCAAGTGTTTAAGCATTTTAATAAATTTTTAATAGCTATTTCTTGCAGCAAAAATAGTCATAAAAAACTAAACACTTTTATTGTAAAAAGCTGACATGCATAATCCACTTGTTGCAGTAAAAGCAGTTTTAATCGCAAAGAGCAGTAATTTGTCAATATAAAACTTTAAGAGCAACACTAGAAATATATATTACAGAAGGTTCTTGAAAACTCTCAAAAAACTTAGATATTATTTATGCAACAACAAGAGCTATTATGATCTAGGACTTAAGAAAGGAAAGTTGACACTTGAACTTTGTCTTGCAGCTTAGAAAGAAATAACAGATAAAACTAAACATGATACTTTGTTAAAAAATAAAAGTTAAATATGATACTCTTTTTGAAAAAAAAAGTGTTTAAGCAAGGCCATAACACTATGAGTCCAAGAAAAACTAAAAACATTAACTTTTAGTATATCAGTGCCATTTTCTTACTAGTACATTTTATCAACTTCAACAACAACAACAACAAGCTGTTTATTTTCCGTAAATCATTTTACAATAGTTTTGATAATAATGACAACAATAAAATAGTAATAATAGAAAAAATATATAATAATAACATAAGATAAAAAAAATAATTATTCAAATTATAGTAATAGTAATAATAAGTATGTTTACAATAATTACAATGAAAAAAAAAATAATAATAATAACTAATATTAATATAAT